GTACTATCAGCATCAAACTAGCTCCGCTTCCATTCGGGAACATTTTAAAAATATCTGCGTAAGATACTGATTTGGCTCATAATATAATTTAATTAGTTTTTCAATGAAACGGTGCATAGCATCTCTCCTATGATTTCTACCTACCTTCTTATTGGGAACAGGGTTACTAATGTTGGCCTTAAGAAAGACGCCGACAAATAAATCTTCCATGTATTATTAAATTATAATATAATTATGCACATTTTGAGGCTCTTTATTCAAGTTGTTACGAGTCAAATATGAGAAAAAAAAAACGTTTTTAATTGGTTTTAAACGAAGGGAAATGCAGAGCAATCTCCCCTGAGCTGGATCTTGGAGAGGTCACATGACATGACAGTTTTTCACACTTTGTTTCCCAAAAGCTTGCCAAAAAAAAGACATTTTATCGATCCTACCTACGACCAGGTCCTCGTCCTCAAACTGAAATCATTCTGTATATTTTTCAGATTTCCGTGAGTCATTTTTCTAGTGATTATTTTATTTTTTAACCCTTTCACTGCGTTGCTGTAGTTGGTGGTCAGTGCCTGTTTTTCTCCTTTTCTCCATGCATGTTGATAGCGTCATCCTTTCATTACGGTAAACAAACAACAACAAAAAGCTTGGTGTTTGATAAGCAGTGACGACGGATGGACCAATATAAAACTTTATGCAAAATGTGATCAAACTAACCTTTTTCTACGGCTCTCCCTGCGCTGTTTAAACACGCCGGGAAACCCTCGGTTTTTTAAAAAGGGGCAATTAAATTGTCCGGTTTTTCTTTGAGAAGTGCGACACACTTTTAAAGTCTGTTTCCTCAGTAATGAAGACTGACTGAACGGAGGAAACACTTCACTTACTCTGTATAGATCGCTTTTTTTTTTACACACAGATGGCTGTTAATAAACGTGCTTCTGTCGACATGTGACAAATAAAATACCGTAAATCCTCACGTAGTGGGAGGAGCTTCTTTCAACTCCAATCAGATTCATTTGACTTCAAATAAAAACTCATCAAATGCCACACTACGTACTTGTATACTAATACACTATGTACTATGTATTCATTGTAGCAGTACTGCAGAAATGGAGTAAAAACGATCCATGAAATAGACAAATACCTTTGCTAATCATGTTGTGCCAGAAAACAATATTTCTGTTCGTCAAAAACTGTAAAATTACTCAAATAATATGAAAATGGTGTCGAATAGAACGACAGACGGACGGCTTTGGCTTTTTACGGAGCTCCGACGTCACCGAAGCCATTTTTATATTATATTTATATATCTGATATACTTTTTACTAAAAGAGTGTGTACTGTGACGTAAACATGCATTACTGTTTAAAACCAACAACATGTTTTATAACTTATATTTCAACATTATAATGCAAATGCTCATTAACTTCAAAATTATAAAGCAATAGTTTTTTTCATGAACTTAATAAATGCTTGAGATATTCCTCACTATAGCAGCTCCTCCGGTTCCTTAGTTAGAGCTCTGACTAATGATTATTACATGTTTTTAATGATCTATTCATTCATTTAACGATGTGTGTAATGGCAGTTAATTGTGAGTAGGATATTCACGTCTTTAAATATCCTGTTTTATCCAAAAACATTTTTATAAAATCTCTCCTGTTTCCTTGAAAGGCTTTTATTATGAACTTGTTCACAGGGACTACTTTCAGTGGCGGATGAATCCACATGTGGTGCTCTAATGAGTGTGTGTGTCAGCAGGGCAGTGTGTGAGGGGGCTTTTTGATGAGTTTTTAATGGGTTTGAGTGGAAAACAGAGCTCTAAGGCACGACAACATGTGTTAAATCAAGCTTTAAGTCACACAAAATACTTGTTTTGGACAAATTCTACGTATATTTGAGTCCCTAAATAAGATTTTAATAGTGAAAAGAAAGGACTTCTATCCTAAACATTACGGTAACTAAAAAAGCAGCCCACTCTGAGGATTTACGGTACCAGACTTCTCTCTCTTGAGTCTTTTTTATTTTTTGGAAACTCATTTAAGTGTATCACTTTAAGATGTAATTGTACAGTTTGACCTCTCTCTGTTCATCCCGCAGCTTCTGGTTTAATACAATGTTCCTCCTCTATCTTCATCATCATCATCATTGCACTACATGTAAATAAATCCTCCTTCATATTATATTGTATAAATGGATTCACAGATATCTGTTTCTCCTGTGTTCACAGACGACTGTTAGTTCTAGTTTTGTACAATGTACAACCGCTTATCTCTGAGATGTGTCACTTTCTTTCTGCATTGTTTTTAATTAGTTTTGAGTCACACACACACACACACATCTAAACTGCACCTTCAGCTCACACACACATCTCAAACCCAAGCAAAACGTCGATTTAAAACCTCCCTTTTCTGTCGAAGGTGACACATTTTCTATGACAGCTTTTTATATTCGTCCATCCAGCCGTTTTAATAAAAAGAGAATAGGTCTTGGATGTCATTCCTGTTTGTTTTTTACCTGCATGAGTAAAGGTGTGTTTCTTTCGACTCCTTGAAAAAAAGACAGCAATATGACAATGACGTTTATACATTTTCTGGAACTACAGTCGAGCTAAAAGTGGTTTGAATCCCTCAAATTGGACTTGTTATGGTCTTTGTTCCACATAGTACCGACTGTGTGTAAGTGTGTGGAGTCAAAGCAGAATAAAGTTTCCCCGCCTCATCTTCTGTCCATATGTAAACTATTAAATGTGGTTTAACACTTATTTTCTATGCTCCTGACATTTCATTTTGTTTTGATGCTTTAGCTAGCAATATGTATATAAATATATTCTATGTGCTAACATGGAGGAAATAAATGTATCAACAAGTTTCTGAGGCTCCAGTGTTTCCTGTTTCTGAAGATCAACCGTTCAGACTATCATTCTGTTTTACCATAATGTGACTATTTTATTTGACGTACTATTCAACATACTGTCTTATAATCTAATCAATTAATAACATACTATACTTTGACTTTTTTTGTAATTGTTCACATACGTTACACTTTCATTTTTACATTTCTAGAGGTACTACTGTATACGATGACTTTTTTTAATAAATTCAAGTGCTATCGGAAATATTTATCATATTTTCCCACATACCATTTCCTTCGACATACTTTACTCTAAATGTTTTTATATATTCAACATACTTTCACTGTTTTCAAACCCTTGACCTACTATGCTATGCTTTTTTCATAATTTTAACATACTTAACTATTTTTTTCATATTTTCATCATACGACTTATTTCACATTTCAAGAAATACTATACTAAGGCTTATAAAATAAAAAATGCACATACTATGGATCTTTCTCGAATTTTCCGACATGCTTTGACTTCTTTTCAAACCTTTGACATACTATTCTATGACTTTTTTTTAAAGGTCCCATGTCATGCTTTTCCGGTTATTACCCGTCCCCTTGTGTGTTATGAAGGTTTTTCTGAATGTAAACGGTCTGCAGTGGATCGCCGGAGCTGTTAGATTAACATTAACATGCTTATTGTAGTTGTAAGTGCACTGACTTGCGGCCTGTAGCACCGTCCTTGATGGAGCATATGTGTGGGCTGGACCTGTATTTTACAGGAAAGGAGTGAGCAGAGAGNCTATCTATCTTCTATCGATTAGATTTATGATTCGAAAATTATAAAAGTAGGTTAGATAAATGCACGTTTTGTTGAGTCGGATAATATCCACATGTCTACCCTACTTTTATAATTTTCGAATCATAAATCTAATCGATAGAAGATAGATAGCGTTAGTGATGGCAAAATTAAGCTTTGAATGAAGCGTCGAACCACTTGGACAATTGTGTCGGAAATAGGTTAATTTCTCGAAGCTTCAGTTACAGCGACCTCTCCTGGCGAAGTGCAAGGCTGCAGTGGGTTTAACGTATCTTTGCCTTGAAAAATATTCGATGCACGCAGCACACACACACACTAAGACTGAATATCATGTTCTATTTGCAATTAAAGATTGATAATTGTGTGTATTGGGTTATTGAGAAGAGACTAGAGAGTGCTAGACATTTTTTTGGGTGGAGAGGGCCTTTTATCAGTCATTAAAGTATTAAAGTTGAAAAGCAATGATTAAAAAATGAACTCTTCCAGGCGTTGAACCAGCTGCGCGGAGGACAACGTTGCATCCTGGCCGCCGGCTCTATCCACTTGACTATCTATTCTTTAAACCATTGAAGTGTTTTGTTCACAACTTCTCCACATTTCGAAGTGTTTCACGAGTCAGAACGACCTATTTTTCTTCCTGGCTTGCTCTATAATGATCCAATTAAAATGCAATGCCAACAACAACAATTCAACAGCAACAACGCAAACTACGACAACAACCCACACATTGCTTAGAGCGGTTATAAAGTGTTGAAGCGCTCAAATTTGAAACTGTTTCAACCTGTCACCTGTCAGAATCGAGACGAGGCAGTGCATTGAATCNAATTGGGTTCATTGTGGATAATAATGCAAATTGCATGTTTTATCAAGATAAGTATGTGAGCAAAGCTCAGAGTATACCCTACCGGCAGGTAGGCGGCCTCGTTTTTGTCCTTCGGTAGTTAGAGTAATGCGGTTAGGACTAACCCGTCCCACTAAAACTGCCAAGTCGCCAAGTCCCTTAAGGGGGGGGATTTCATCGTAACCGCGATCGGCGTGAGGCATGGAAGAGGCGATGGCTGTTGGTGCTGAATCCTGCGAAAAAAAGAAAGAAGAGTGTGGTTCTTCTATCTGCAATTCTTCCCCTATAGTTGTGTGGTCAATAAAGAAGCCATTTATTTAGGATGTGGCAGAGAAAAGAGGAAACTCTAATTGCTGTCCAACCTCTCCTAAAAAAAGACAAAGAGCTGTTGCGTGGCGATGCTCCGCAGGAAGGGTCAGCGCTTACGCTTAAGTTCTACCTGTGCAAGAGAAGGGAGCTGGTGGTCCCTGGTCCTTAGCTCGAGCCCCGAGACGCCAGACGCACCCCACTTCTAAAAAGGCCTGGTGTCTGCGTGGGTGGTTGCCAGACGACAGGACGAGGCCGACCGTGTGTACGGGTCCTCCGATAGGTTGTGGCGCGCGAGTAACCGCCACCCCGTAACACGGGCAAAGGTGGCACTTCTCTGAGCGGCTGCCGCCAAATCCGAGCGTGTTTCGATCGAACAGCGATCCTGATGGGACACAGAGACTAAAATGGCGGGCCTGGCCTTAGCCCGGTGGCCCCGCAGGCCGGGGTCTGTCTCTACCCGGGACCGTTGACACAGCCAGGACCCCGAGTAGTCGGGTCACGTCGACGGTCTTGGCTTAAGGGGCGCACAAGTCCGACCCCTGAGAACCGCGGCATCCTGCACCGGCTCGCCCCGGCTGCGATAGGTCCGACCCCGAGGGGGCGACCTAGAATGTTACCAGAACGGGCGGTCTTCTACAGGACCCTCCAAAGCGATAGTGCCTCTGCTTCTCACCTACGGAGACCTAAGGAGGGCAGGCTGAGACTACTCGGTCCTTCTGTATGCCAGATAGTACAGTAAGCCGAAGTCTGGCGTTGCCGCCTAAGGCATCCGAACGGAGAAGGGCCCGCTATCCGTGTGGTCGAAGCGGGACAAGACCATACCTGGCGGTCCCGACACACAGGTCGCACGCGCGGTCTGATCTGGTAGGGTACGGGCTTTCCGGTTCCTTCTGGAGGTGCCAGGCAATGCCTCCTTTTAACGGGTTCGTTCTCTCCTGTTTTCTCGTTCTGAGGACGGCCAGAAGGGCCTCTAACAACCTACTCCCCACAGCACAGAGCGACCTCCTGGCGGGAAGTCCGTTGTCCGCGGGTAGGTCCCGCAACGGAGGAGGGATCTGACGCTCCCATAACCTCTCGCGCAGCCGGACGAGGCGGTATGCGGCTTACCTTTGGTGACAACCGTCGAAGTAGGAGGAAGGCTCCCTACCGCTGATGGGTGCACGTCCCTTGGGGTGCGACGGCTGTTTCCGCCTGGCCAGGGTCAGTTGGTCTGACTGCCAAGGATGTCTTCGGCGGTCGTAATAAGGCCCCCGAAACTTGTAAAAAGGAGCACGATTGGGCGAAATCGGTTGGCCTCGAAGCCGAATCTGATTACCTTGCTCATTAGGCCTGGGGCGTCTCAATACCTCGCTCTAGCGGCGAATAGTCTGTAAAGACAGAGGCGCAAGTTTGTGACGCGCACAGCAGGTCCGGTGCCCTACCGTACTACCCCTTCCATACCACACGTCCTTTTTCGATCTACGAAGTTGCCAGTGGTTATGAGGTCTGCCTTTCTCTCCCTAAAACCGCCCTCTTCACGGTAGCAACGGCTCCACTCAAAACCCCTAGACCCGCCAGGCAAGATCGTCCTTCTCACGCCTCCAGGTCTTCTTCCTTCCTGCTCCGGGAGTGGAGACAGCGACACCTCACGGCGGTCGTCGGCCGCTCGACCAAGCGGCGTTCAATCGGAGGTCGACGAGCCCCAAATTTCATGGTTTGTCTCCCAGTGTTCGGGAAAGGGCCAGGGGTCGGGTCCGTCCTCTGCTCCCGCTCAACGGGTCTTTTAGAGGCCAAGGGCCGCACGTCGGGTCCGCGTCGGTTCGGGGTCTCAACCAGCCGGTCGTCATAGCTCCCTTCCTCTTCGCCGCGGACTGTCGTAACGGAGAAGGGAAGGGAAGCCCACTGCCTCGACCTTCCAAAGGGGTCGAGGTCTACACAAAAGGGGCGACGGAGCGTCTCTACGGAGTTGGGCGGTAGGAGTTCCTTGTTTTTTGTACACGTGATCATAACACAGACAAAAGAGCGACTGCCGTAGGGTCCGGAGTCGGCCCTCCGCGTCGAGTTTTTGTAAACTTTCTTTTTGTTATTTGGTTGTTTGTCGGCGCGGTAAACAAGGGAAAAAACTCTCGTCAATGCTCGAGAGAGTTTCTCGCTGTTACTTGCCCAGACAATTCCGGTGCGGCGGTGCGCGTACGCGCTCCTCCCCTCACTTGCCTGACCCCGACACTCCCGGCGTGGTGGAGTGCACGTCGCGCTCCGGCCGACCCAACACTTCTTGCCGTGGCCAGGACAGTGCGCCGCGCTAAGCCGACCTTACACAGCACCACAACCACCGCGCCGCGCGCACGGCGCGACGCCACCTGACAGTTTAGCCGCAAATAAATAGTTAACCCAACAGTCCAATGTTTAAGATAATGAACTATTTATCACATTTCCTTTAACTGTTCAAATGGGAACAAAGAATAAAAGTGGTCGAACATTACCTTCGCATTGGCCTGTCTGTTGGTTCCTCTTAAAGCCGTGTTTGCACTGGCATGTAGCATTAGCATTCGTTTGGTTGCAAATTGCATCCTCTCCACATGGATTTGTTTTCTTTCCACATACATCTCCGCTGGAAACTACAAATAACGACAGCACTTTGATTACAAATCCGTCCTCTGTTTCTTAAGACACCTGCTGAGTCTATTCTTTTGATGTGCAAAAGCCGAAAGGGCAGCGTCTTCTTTCATGAAGAACACAGCACACGTCAAACACCTGCATGCATATATTACCATAAATAACAAAACATCACAGTCAAAATTAGAAGATTGCCAAGCTGCTTGATAATGTCATGGCGACATTTCCATCTCTTCCGAATGCTTCTTTGAGGTGTTTGTGCTGTACTCACAGGCTTTGCAGTCTTGTTCGTCCGAGCCGCCATCGCCACAGTCACTGAACATGTCGCACTGCAGCTGCATGGGGACGCAGCGTTGGTTACCGCAGGTGAACTCTGTCTTCCCACAAGGCCGAGGTCTTCCAGCGACCTCCTCTGCTTCAGTACACAAGGTCGATTGACAAGAAAAAAAATATTCAAATGGAAATATGTTTCTTTCAGTTTCAAGTGATATTTAATTAGAAGATGAAATGGTGACGGAGCTTTATAACTCTCATTACACTTTAGTTTGCTTTTCCGAAAATAAATGTGTGTCCTTAATTACCTTGGTTACTCGATTTTCTTTGTAAAGCTTTTAAACCGTGATGATTAGCAATTAATTTGTAGTTGTTTTCACAGAGAAAGCTGTATGATTTTTGTTGCTTCATTATTTATGAATAACTTTAAAAATGTTGTTTTAAGCCAACAATTTATTCAAACTTTCATCTTTCTTCATTTGACAATCACCCCAAACACAACAGAGAGGAGAAGGGGAAACAACAAAATGGAGTGTGAGAATGAAGGGATGGATGGAGGCCAGAAGGGAAGTGAGAGGTAATGGAGTGAGCTAGGAGATGGATGGACGTATCAACGGAATCAGAGAGGAAGATTGATTGGGGACAGAAAGAATGAAAGAGTGAAAGATGAGAGAAGTGATTTGTCCAATCCTTTCAGGGCTGCTGGGTTTCATCGTTCACACCGGGCTTGTGTGGGGCATGCTGCCAGCAGTTATGCCTTTAGGCATATCGTAGAAAGTAAAAAAAACGTTTTGCGACAGAAAATCTCACTGAAAAAAAAAGATTTTTAGTTCACTAAATGATTTAAAACGCAGCCTTTAAATCTCTCAATTAGGCACAGTGGCAGGTACACCCCCTGCCTTCCATTTGTAAGCCCTTGAGGTGATGATTTCAACACATGCAGCTAGCTATTGGAGTAAGAGAAGAAATTAATGCAAAGTTGAATCACAAACTGTATGATTGTATGATTGCCTGTGATACATGTATACAGTATATCCAGTAAAAGACTCAAATCAGGCCAATAGTCTTCTCCTACAGTATATTCGATTATATATATCCGGCCTAACCATTCAGCCTGTGTAGTCTTGCTGTATGAAAGAATAGGAAATCTCCGCCCAATGATCATCTGGGATTTTCCAAATGCCGCCAATAAACCCCTTACTGTAAATGCCTTGGATTCCAATCCAAGGGGTGCCATGTCGAGATAACACGCATATAAACGTCAGTTGGGCGATGTCATCTAGGGTTAGGCTTTATACAAAATTGAAAATGGATTTTTCAAACAATACGTGTTTTTTGTTTTGCTTCAAACAGCAGCAGCTATGAGTGAAGTGTGTGTGTGTGTGTGTGTGTGTGTGTGTGTGTGTGTGTGTGTGTGTGTGTGTGTGTGTGTGTGTGTGTGTGTGTGTGTGTGTGTGTGTGAGTGTGTGTGTTAGTACAATAGCAGAGCAGCTGTAGCAACCACAGTTCCCTGAGTGTGTTTTTGGTACAACTGTGGTTACAGGGACCTCCTGCATTACACCACCCTAATGTCAAGGGCTTCCCGAAATACTTTTGATTAGTCGTGCCATGCAGATTTTAAAGAAATGTATCGACCTGGTCAGTGTTTGTACCAAGTGGGTACAACATGAGCATGAAGGGCCGATGTTAATGCTACAGTTTTAGTTGAATGCAACACTTATTTAATGCTAGTTCGAAAAATGGCTCTCAACCCAGGGGTCATTGATTAATATATTGAGTGGCCATGAGATGATAAACAAGTTAAAAAAGAACGATAAAAAAGATGATGTGAGTTAAGCGGCAACATACATTTGAGTCTTTCACACTACTGTTCAATTATTATAGGCAATTTAGGGTTTTTTAGTAAGTAACCCTTTTTATTTGTTGGGGTCCTGCACTAAAAATGGGTTGAGCAATTGCTTTAAGTTGCAGTTTACCATCAAGTTTAGCTTTTCAGTTCCTCTTTCTATCAGAAACCAACAGTGGTTATGGGTTGCCGTATTCTGCCCAGCCCCAAAAAATGTTTTAACATTGCTCTAGACCAGGGGTGGGGAACCTCCGGCCCCCGGGCCGTATTCGGCCTGCGAGACAATTTGATACGGCCCTCAAGGTAACACATGCAAAAAAGAAAAAAGATTAAGAAATCTAGACCGCAAAATAATGAAACAAGCGAGTGCCTGTTTTTCCTGGCCAAGGTCAGGGTCCTTGAACACAACACGAGCCTAACGTGTCATCACGTGGTATATGTCTCGTCTGACAGGGGTGTATTTCTGACGGAGAGCACCAGAATGCCGCTCCGGGCCAGGACTTCACAAATGTCAGTACCCATAAGGAGCCGTACACATGCCGCAGTTTTTGCGTGGCTGTGTCTCTTAGTTGAAAGCCCAGTGGCGATCTGTTCATCTGTCATACTGATCATACAGTCAATAACGTTGTTGTTATTGGCATCTGGTTAGCTAGCTATGCTAACGAATATAAGAAGCTTTTTCTCCAACCAGTGAGGTAAAGGCACATCTTTATATGATCATTATAGTTATAAAAAAATAAGAGAATAAAGTAAACAGGTATAAAATACTATATGAGAGTAAAAAATGTTTGTTATTAATAAACAAGAATACAGTTTAAAAGGGGAGTGATTTGTAAAATATCCATAAAGAAAAATGAATCTGCTGTTGTTTCATATGGGTGTTGAGAGATGTATCCATAGAGCTCCTAATGTTGCTCTCAAAGTGCACCAGATTGATGCTTTTAACTTCAACATTTAAAAAAAAATCTTTCCACGGGCAGCATGCCCCCCGGACCCCCTAGAGGGGAGGTTAGCTCCCCCCCCCCCCCACCACACACCTTAAAAAAAATTCATGTCCATGGGATAGGAAACTAATACAGTTGCACACATCTTGTGTCAATATCTTCTGTTGGTGGTGGTCCATGCCCACGAAAGTCATGGGTAAGATATCTGGGATTATAGGAGGTTGCTTTTTCTTTGCACAGGCATGAAAGAAAGGGCCAATGAACTGGGCTGTGAATTTAGTATTTTTAATGCAAGTCAATCGTTTTTGTTCGTCCCTCGGGAGGATGGTTGAAAAAATTGAAATTGGCCCCTTGAGAGGGAAAAAGGTTCCCCACCCCTGATCTAGACAGATTGTGGGGGACTAACTTTGTAAAGGCGCTTCAGAAAGAACTGGGAGACTGCTCTAAACCAGGCTTTGACAGAAAAGGATCCAGGATTCCCTGGGCTTCACTGAGCAGTCAAGTGGCTGTTCAATCCCCCATAGGAGCACACTTTGGAGGGAGTGTGGCGCAGTGGACTAGGTGCGTTGGTGTTGGTGATCAGGGGGAGCACAGGTTTCCAAACCCACTGCATTCAGCATGTCGGTTGTGTCCCTGAGACCACTTCACCCCAATTGCTCCTGTGGGGATTACCTACAAGATATTGGGAGTATTGGTAATGTCGCTTTGGGATAAAAACGTCTTAAGTAACATTGTAATATCAGGCTGACCTGGCAGTGGGGTTTGAACCTGTTGGGCTCCCCTGATCCCAACACCCAACCGCATTCCACTGCGCCCCCCACCACTCCTCCAAAGTGTCTCCTGATGGGGGTTGAACAAGCCACTGACTTGCTCAGGACAGGGAATTTCCTGGGGATCCTTTTTTGATTCAGGCTGGGTTTAGGAGGCAGTCTCCATTCTTTCTGAGAGCGCCTACCAAAGGTTAGTCCCCACAATCTGTCTAGATCCAGGGGTGGGTAAAACCCTTTTTCCTCTTCAAGGGGCCCATTTCAATTTTTTCAACATCCCTCCGAGGTGCCGAACCAAACGATTGGACCCTTGCTTAAAAATACTAAATCCCACAGGGCCCATTCATGTTTGGCCTTTCTTTCATGCTGGCAAAGAAAAAGCAAACCTCTTAATCCAGATATCTTACCCATGACTCGTGGAGCATTGCCACCACAACAGAAAGATATGGACAACAAAGATGTGGTCAACTTTGTATTTTAGTTTCCTATCCCAATGTGGACATGATTTAAGTTGTGTGGTGGGGGGGAGCAAAACCCTCCTCTAGGGGGGGTCCGGGCATGCTGCCCGTGGAAGATTTTTTTAAAGTTTGAAGGTTAAAAAGCATTTCAATCTGGTGCACTTTGAGAGCCAACATTAAAGAGATCTATGGATACTTCTCTCAAATCCATATGAAAAACAGCCAGATTCATTTTTCTTTATGGATATTTTCAAATCACTCCCCTTTTAAAACTGTATTCTTTTATTAATAACAAACATTTTTCTCTCATATAGGTATTTTATAAACCCCTGTTTACTTTATTCTCTTATTTTTTAATAACTATAATGATCATATAAAGATGTGCCTTTACCTCACTGGTTGGAGAAAAAAGCTTCTTATATTCGGTTTAGCATAGCTAGCTAACCAGATGCTTAATAAACAACAGAAGTTATTGACTGTATGATCAGTATGGGGACAGATGAACAAGATCGCCACTGGGCTTTTCAACTAAGGGACACAAGCCACGCAAACTGCGGCAAGTGTACGGCTTCCTTACGGTACTGACATTTGTTGAAGTCCTGGCCCGGGGAGCGGCATTTCTGGGCTCTCCGTCAGAAAAATACACCCCCTGTCCAGACGGAGACATATTTACCACGTGATGAACGTTAGGTCAGTGTTTGTGTTCAAGCCCTGACCTTGGCCAGGAAAAACAGGGCACTCGCTTGTTTTCATTTTCTTGCGGTCCCTAGATTCTTACATATTTTTTCTTTTTTTGCGTGTGTACCCTTGAGGCCGTATCAAATTGTTCTCGCGGCCGTTATACAGCCCGGCCAAAGGTTCCCCACCACTGGTCAGATAGTTCAGAATTGGTCCTCTTCCACCATGAAAACCGCTTTGGCGTTTGATGCAGGAGTCAGTATCTAAAGGTACTCGCACCCTCCATATGAATAGCTCGACTCCACGAAAGCAGGTGATTATTACCCCCCCACCTCTTCACATGGCTCCACCTCTTTTAACCTTGACGGGTTGAAATAGTCATTCCCACATGAGAGGAAGGTGGGAAGGTCTGGCCCACACGGGGATCTTTCAGATAAGTCAGCCAT